TCTATCTTTAATACCAAGTCTATGACTTCCCATGCCCTAGTCTCTTGTGTGCCAACGCACAAACGTTGTGATTCGACATTGAACTGAGTCAAAGCAAGCATAACTACAACATTTGTGGGTTGGCATACAAGAGACTAGGGCAGTGATTCCCAAACTGTGCGCCGCAGCGCCTGGGGAGCCTTGGCCCCTACAGGGGCGCCGCGAAATATTGTAAAAGCTTCAATTTGGCAAAATTTGCAGTGATTTGCAGACTCATCCATCACATTTATTATTAAATATTAATTGAATCTCAATAAATTTTTAAAAATATTGAAGATACAAGAGTTTTTTTTAATCTTTTACGAATAGTTGGAAAAATTTTAATTTAAAAAAATGTGCTGCGACTCGGTAAAGTTTGGGAACCACTGGACTAGGGCATAACAAGCCAGAGACTTGGTATTAGGGATAGAAAGAGGATAGACGCGACGGCGACTGGCGCTAGTTGGCTGACAGTAGGCCTGTTTTAGTATAGACGTGGTCACCCAGACGCAGGGGAGGGCGAATAACGCCTCGAGTGGCACAGATGGGGTGGCAGGGTTTGGGTGAAATACGTAACCAGGAGGATAGCAGACGGATCCTACGGGGCAAGAGATAACCTGTGATAAGTGCTAGGGAAGGGGGACTGCGTAACAATATTGCAGACTGATCAACATTCCCTGCACAAGGATGAAGGGGGGTGAGAAAGGCTGCGTGGAGTGTGGGTATTTCTCATGAAAGCCGCTCAAAAGGGCACACTAGACCACATTAAAATAAAAAATTAAGAAATTGTAATATTTAAAGTGTGATAGGATATAGGATTGGTGAATAGCACAAAGGTGGAAGGAGAGATACCATGATTGTTTAGCAGACAAAGGATCGGCTTCATTTGTCTCTGACGGGTTGTAGTATGATGATAGGAATGGCAAAACTCACTAACGATACCGACTACGATGGCGGCGAAACGTCTGGAAATGTACCACGTCCACGGTCCGACTTTGAAAATGATCATTCATACAATGGACTAGGTGCGTTCCTCTAAGTCTTCCTACCAATATGACCAAGTCGCGAAAACAAGGCTAAATAACCTTTATAATTCTTTTTGCTATCTTCTCATGGAATCTTCTCTTGCTTGCTTGGCTATTATTTTATTCGAATAAAAGTTGTGTTTTGAGAAATCTATCGTTTCATAATCGCTGAAGTTACCTCCATTTTGAGTGAAAGTGTTTGGTGAAGTGATTCAAAGGTCGATCTCACCTGAAAAAGAAAGTCTATTCCTCTTGATCAGCTCTTGATTGGATTTAACTTAAGATTCTTTTTGACGCTGTTTCCGATGCAATATCCTTCTATTTTTTTAAAACGTGAAACCTTTTGGTCCGTCGTATGACCATCATGCTTAT